CATCCTCTCCCTTTTCCTGCCAGTATTCTCGCTGTGCTCTGGAGGTCTTGCAACGCAGGTCAGGGTCAAAAGCACAACACTTAAACCCTGGACTTAGGGCACTATAAAACTTTTACAACGTAGTTTGGGTTAGCGGTAGTCCCGTCACAGCTGACATTTGTCCTCGAAGGGTTTAATTCCAGTGTGAAACCAGATCATCCTTTCCAGTCATACAAAATATCATCTAAAGATCAAGGTAGAAGCAGTTTCATTTTTTTCATTCATGGTAAAGTATGTTGTTCTCTAGGCAGTCTTGTTATATTCAGTTTTCTCTTCCCACGTGGAAAAAAAATGTTCAGGCACCACCAGCTTGCCTGATTCTGCAAGCCTTCTTCATCTTCATGGCTTCTATGTTCCAGGAACCTGTCGCTGGATTGTGCCTTTTTTCTCTGTCTGTCTGTCTGTCTGCCTGCCTGCCTGCCTGCCTTCCTTCCTCCTTCCTTCCTTCCTTCCTCCCCTTCCTTCCTTCCTTCCTCCCCTTCCTTCCTTCCTTCCTCCCCTTCCTTCCTTCCTTCCTCCCCTTCCTTCCTTCCTTCCTCCCCTTCCTTCCTTCCTTCCTCCCCTTCCTTCCTTCCTTCCTCCCCTTCCTTCCTTCCTTCCTCCCCTTCCTTCCTTCCTTCCTCCCCTTCCTTCCTTCCTTCCTCCCCTTCCTTCCTTCCTTCCTCCCCTTCCTTCCTTCCTTCCTCCCCTTCCTTCCTTCCTTCCTCCCCTTCCTTCCTTCCTTCCTCCCCTTCCTTCCTTCCTTCCTTCCTCTGTGAACTCTTTGCGAGGTCCGAGGGGAGACTTGCTGTTCCTCATCCCTCCTCCTTTGCATGGACTACCCCTGGCAGAAGCGATCTCCCTGGAGGAATTGCTGAGCTCAGGCAGGTGAAATTCGTTAAATATATATATTTAAATGGTGTCTCAAAAGTATTATACTTTCGTTGCACTTCAGCACACTTTCCAAGTTCCCCGGACATCTTTTTTAATATCTGGAAATGAGATTCTTCTGAGTTCCTTTTAGAGAATGGCAAAGCTCAAAGAAAACGGAGCGTTTTTGCCAGAGATCTTCTCACCCGGGTTCATGTTTCTGCCCTGACCTCGTGACATTCTTTTGCTTTGCAAACAAGCAGCTGCAGCTTGGCAAAAAGCAAACCTCGGATCTCTGCTTCCAGCCCATTGTGACCACTTTCTCTGGAGCAGCTGTACAGATGATGAGAGCTTCAACACACACACACACACCCCTGCTGCTGATTTCTTCCCTCCCTTCTGTGCAGCTGGTATGGGAGAGAAGGGTCGGCTTCCCTTGCACTTTTCAGAGAACAATCTGGAGGATAAGTGGAACAAACTCTGTCCTAGCTCCAAAGGCAAATGGAACAAGATAAATGGAACATTATCTCTTAGTGAGATAATGGTCAAGAGAACCCTTAAGGCCTGCCTTCCCAGGGCAGATCAAAGATGGATCTAGTCCAGATACCTGTCTCCAACCATAAGTGGCTGGGTTTTTCAGGGAAGCTGTCAAAGAAGGCATGTTGGCCATGGTTTGGCAGCCTCTCGTTTAGAGGTACACTGCTCCTGCATGGGGAAGCTCCCTCGTGGCTTTTAAAAAATGGCCATTGAGACCTCTGAGTTTGTGTCCATGATCAGATCTTGAGCCTGTGAATTTTGTAAATAATTATGAGGCTTATTTATTCTGGGCCATAAATAAGTGTACAGACTTGAGAGTGCGCCCATCTTCGGCTTGCAAAGCATAAAGGTGGTGCAATGACCTCTCCCTAGAACAGAGTTTAGAAAAAAAGTTACTTTTTTGGGACAAGAGTTCCACTATATTCCAGTCAGTGGTGGTTCTCGATCTCTGGGCTTGGAAACATTCTGGAAGTCAAGCTAGGCTGGCTGGGGTTTCGGAGAGGTGAAGGTCTCAACGTCTGGAGGGTCCAAGCCTGAGAATCCTGTAGCAGAGCCCAGGCCCACAGACCTGGCTGTGGGTGGAGAGCTGTCGTTCCCAGGTCTTCATGGACTGGAACCCCCAGAAATCCTGGCCAGCACCAGAAATCCTGGCCAGCACAGCTGGAGTTGAAGGCTTCGGGGAGCTGCAGTCCAAGAACACCGGGGTTTAACCAAGGTGGGGAGCCACTGAGATCAAGCCTTCTGTGCTTGACGTACGTGTGTTGCCACTGAGATCAAGCCTTCTGTGCTTGACATACGTGTGTGTGTTTGTTTTTGTGTGTGTGGGCTACAGATAATGGAATTCTTCAGCTGAAGGGGACAGTGGGTGTCAGAAGAACCCCATAGACCGAGGAGCCTCTCTCTCAAAACATCTACCCATCTCACCTGCATCTCTTACAAGGGGATGCTTCAGGCGGCCACCCCGAGGGAGGCCTAGAAAATGGGTTGCTCCTAACTGGGCCTTCTCTGGGGTGGTCACCACGCTTCGGAATGTCCTTTCTTTTGAGAGGCAGTCGGCCCCTTCCCTCCTTGGTTTTAGGAGGCATCTAGCTATTTTCGCTAATCTTCATAGCCTTGCCCCAAATTAACCTTGTGTTTGGATTATTTTTTTCTTAAATTTATGAACTTCTCTCAGCCAGTGATCTATTACTTTTGTAAATTTATTTTTTAAGGTATTGTGCTGTTTGATGCCTTATTTGGGTTGGTAGGTTGGTTGGACAGACGGACGAGCAGATAGATAGATAGATAGATAGATAGATAGATAGATAGATAGATAGATAGATAGATAGATAGGATAGATAGATAGATAGATAGATAGATAGATAGATAGATAGATAGATAGATAGATAGATAGATAGATAGATAGATAGATAGATGACAGATGGCCGGACAGAAGGAAAGAAGGAAAGAAGGAAAGAAGGACTGATGATGGAAGACAGACAGACAGAGAGAGAGAGAGAGAGAGAGAGAGAGATGACAGAAGGAAGGACAGAAGGAAAGAAGGACTGATGATGGAAGACAGACAGACAGACAGAAAGACAGAAAGACAGACAGACAGACAGACATATAGATAGATGATAGATAGATAGATAGATAGATAGATAGACAGACAGACAGACAGATAGATAGATAGATAGATAGATAGATAGATAGATAGATAGATAGATAGATAGATAGATAGATAGGATTAGTTTTTAACACAAAGGCACCTCAAAGGGCTTTGGTTTAAGGTGCCTGCATAGTTTTCTCATTTAGTTCACGTGGGAGAAGTATTATTGTTAAAGGCAGCAAATTCCTGATAATGTGTGAAAACAGCTTGATGATGATGTGATTGCAGAGGTGGACAACAAGGTGTTGGCCTTGTTGGGCTGGAATCCAGCAGAAATGTTTTCTGGCCAGGGCGGTCGCTCTGGGTATATTTGTGAGGGTTCCTGTCCTTTTACTTTCCAGGCAAATGAAACTCGGCTGGTGCCAGAAATAGTGTGTTTTTTGGAAGCCACCGAGGGTGCTGTTCCTTGCCAGGGAGGGGAAGAAAAAGGACAAAAAGTGGGTTTCTTCCTGTGCAAGAACAGCTTCAGAATCCTGCCAAACTCACCGGCGGTTGGCTGGGCGTTTGCAATGAGAATTCATGGTTGTCATGGAATAGCCATCGTGCAGAAAGAGAGGTCATGATTTGCATGCGTGCAGAGGGGTCCCAGGTTGGATTCATTGAAGAAAAGAAAAAAGAGAGAGAAGGATAGTTGGCGAGGTGGAAGACCTCCAGCTGAGATCCTAGAGCAGGAGAGGGAACAACCCGGGCAGAGTTCTGGCGTGGAGGAGGTTGCCCTGGGAGAAGCGGAAAGCCCTGCCCGGCTGCTGCCCGCTGGTGGTTCTCCCTCTTTGATCCTGCATATATCTAAGACACGGGCTGGATAGTTCGTGATCTGGCCACCGAGCCACAGGTTGGGAGTTCAGGTCTCCAGTTCAGCCTTTTCAGAGAGAACAGGCAGACGGGGTGGCATTGGGACAGCAACATAGTTGATTTCCAGAAGAAGGGAGGAGGAAACAGCTTTGGTGTGGCCTCTATCTAGAAAGCCCTGACAGTATGCAGTTATTGCTGTAGGGCATCAGCTGCGAGAACCCTTTTAACGACTGGTCACCCTGGCCAGGGGGGGGCTTCAGGGAGTCCCACTGCATCTGGAAGGACAAAGGTGAAAAACCACCACCCCTAGAGAGCTTGGGCCCTAACCCCTAGCCCTCAGACCTTCCGGGGAGTTAGTTGGAGAGCATCCTCTTGAGGACAGAGGGCCCGGATCCCCAGGGGTTGATCAGGCGTTCATCAGGGCTCTCCTGATCAAAGAGCATCTCCTGTCCGTGTCCTCTGATTCAGAGGATGAGTCCCTCCCTCCCTGCAGGGAAGTCCCATCTTCCCAGCCTTGCAAATGGGCCAAAAAAATAAAAATAAAAAATAAAGACAAGGAGGGGACTTTTCCCCGAAGCCATCCAGGAGGGTGGCTCCCCCAGGAGGGCCACCCAAGAGCCGAACAGAAGGCTTCTGTGGGCTTTAGCTCTTTGCTGAGACATCGTTCTTCACCCTGCCAGGGCCAGCATGAATGTTTCAGCTGGAAGGTCCCCCTTCGAAGCGGTCCGTGGTCCCTGTTTCTTTCTCCCTTGTTGCCTGTCCAGTTGTGATGAAATTCTTGTAAAAAGCAAAAAATAAAATAATTTTTAAAGTGTGCTGCTTATAGGCTGCCCCATAGCGCTTGGAGCACTCTCTGGGCGGTTTTATGAGTTAATGATGCATTGCTGCCCCCTCCACCCCATCGAACTGAATACTCAATGGACCGACTTCGGAAGGCTGAGTGAACCCCCCTGAGCCAGCTACCCGGGATTGAACCCAAGCAGTGAGCAGAGTTTTGGCTGCAGTACTGCCGTTTAGCCCACCGCACCATAAGTTTCTGCAATGGCGTCCTTTAAGCTTTCTGTCGTTGCTAAGAGGGTTGGCTTCGGTTCCTTTCCTGCGTCCTCATTCATCAGCCAAACGGATGCTTCATCCCCTGGGGTTCCTTCAAATGTTGCTTTTAGGTCTCTGTGTACTGTTTCTCTCTTTAGGAAGATGATTTTAGGTTGTGTGTCTCTCTGTGTGTGTGTTCTGTTGTATTCTGGCAGTCAACAGCCTTTGGTGTTGATTTCCAATTTTTCTCTGTTGGAAATCTCTCGTGCCCTCCGCCCCAAGGGCTCTGGAGGTCTCTGGGTTCGTATAATCTCAGCAAGGACAAAGAATCTGGGGACCTGTGTTTGCTCAACGGGAAACATTACACTTTTCCTGAGCTACGCTTTAATTGGGGCCTCCTTTCCATGCAGGCGGCTTTTCAGAGAAGAATTACGAATGGAGCTCGGAGGAAGAGGAAGCCGAGAAGAAAGCCAGACCGGTGCAGATCCTCATCGTGAAGGACGACCACACTTTTGAACTGGATGAAGGGGCCCTCAACCGCATCCTCCTCTCGGAAGCCGTCCGCGATCAGGAGGTGGTCGCCGTCTCTGTGGCCGGAGCTTTCCGGAAGGGGAAGTCGTTCCTGATGGACTTCATGCTGAGATACATGTACAACATGGTAGGTGCTGGGGTCTCGTTCTGCGTGCGCTGGGCCTAATAAGCGAACAGTCAAAGGGTCGTGCCTTGCTTTACCCCATAACTGCGTTCCACCCTTTTTCTGAACTGCAGCTTCCCAAATCCTTCAACCGGCATGACCACCATAGTCTAAAAAAATGAACTTTTCCATTGCCCTTAGAGAGGAACCGTAAGTTCCGAGGTTGCTCCTCAGAAGTCAAGCCAGAGGCGATCAGGAAAGAATGGGGAGTGGGCCTTTCCAAATGGGGAGGGGTGTGTGTTTCTAGCCCCCCCCCGAAACCTGGCAGCAAACCTGACCTTGAATGGGTCTTCCATGTTGAATGGATTTGCACAAACTTCACTGAATTGGAAGGGGTCCTCTAAGCCCATTGAGTCCACCCCCCTGCTCAAGATCAAAGGAGATCTGCCAGTCGGTTGTCCAATTTTCTCTTGAAGGTCTCCAGCATTGGAGCGCCTACTACCCCCTGAGCTTATGAACACCATTGTCGTACTGCTCTAACAGTTGAGACATTCCCCCCCCCCCTGATATTGAGAAGGCTGCATGGCAGGCACGTGGGAGACACGGGCATTGAGTCCACCCCCCTGCTCAAGATCAAAGGAGATCTGCCAGTCGGTTGTCCAATTTTCTCTTGAAGGTCTCCAGCATTGGAGCGCCTACTACCCCCTGAGCTTATGAACACCATTGTCGTACTGCTCTAACAGTTGAGACATTCCCCCCCCCCCTGATATTGAGAAGGCTGCATGGCAGGCACGTGGGAGACACGGGCAACTTCAGTTGTCGTACTGCTCTAACAGTTGAGACATTCCCCCCCCCCCGATATTGAGAAGGCTGCATGGCAGGCCCATGGGACACACGGCCAACTTCAGAGGGACCTCAAATCATTTGGTACCCAGCTTCAGTAAGGGACATCACATGCTCTTAACATTGCTCGGTCTGCTGCCGGCAACTTGAGCATCTCCGCTGCAGTAATATTTATTGATCCAATTTTGTTTTGTCGTGTTCCTATCCTAGCTCTTCCCATCCATTCCTCCATTCATTTATTTATTTAGTGCACCACCTTTCTCCCCATTGGGGACTCGGAGGGGCTTACATAAATCCACACCATTAACTCAAATCTCCCAGTGTGGGGACCCAAGGCAGATAATAGTAATAATTTAGCCTCTACATGTTGACTTTCTAAGGGCTTGGCGTGTCTTCTCCTAATAATAGCCCAAACCCTATTAGTTATGCCCGGAGCTGTAACACGATGGGTGCCAAGCTCATTAGCAACTTTTTTACTAGTTAAAAAGTTAGGAATAGCCATTTGCCGGAGTGAGTCAAGTCACCACTCGATGTGCCAACCACAGAAGCTTAGTTAACGTCTTAATTGGCACCAGCCCTATGCCAGTTGTGGGATTTCTACCCGTTGCCTTACTCGGATGAAAAAAAAATCCAGTGATTTTCTCCAAGTTTTGCAGCGGTGCTGTAATGCAGGCCAGTGTGGCGCTCACACGCTTAACAACAGCGGGAGCCGAGAAACCTTTGACAAAATGCGATAACATTTATAAAACTCTTTGCAAATTATAACTCTGCCCATGGGGAGAGAAGGTAAAGCTGAGAGCACTCTGGAGCAGAGCCTGGGGGAGTTGATTTTTAGTTTACACGTCTTGGAAAAACCCCAGGAGAAGGGGGATTCTTAGAGTCTGAAAAAGTAACTTTTTAAAAGTTCTGTCTTGAAACCACCACATACGTCCGGGACTCCAGCTGAATACTACTGTACTTTCAACTCTTCTTTCTAGGGGGTTATTGAACTCCAACTTGGGTTGCATATGCCTCTGATTCTAGTGCATGCATGTTAAAAATTCTGAAAGATTGGTTTGTATTTCAGAGGAAATATCTAGTTCTCATGGTTCTTAGAGCTGATGTCTGCTGAAGGCTCTGGGAATTCATGGAGCCTGGGAGAATCCTCCAGCTACCACAGCTTCCCGGTGCCCTCAGCCCATCCTGTTGTGGTTGTGTTTCTAAACCACTTTCTCACAGAAGAGGGGAGTGGTTCCCAAACTGGGGGTCCCCAGATGTTCTTGGACTAAAATTCCCAGAAGGCTTCACTCCTAGCTCTGCTGGTTAGGATTTCTGGGAGTTGTAGTCCAAGAAACCTTGGGGATCCAAGGTTGGGGACCCCCTGGTCTAGATGATGTAACTGCTTAACAGTGTGG